CCCCCCCCCCCCGCCCCATTCCTTGGCTCATGGATCCCTGAACCAAATATACATGAGGGTCAGAGGGAGAATGGAAGATTTTGAGGAGAAAGGTGGAGGAATTTCCTTGAAGAGAGCTCCTGCCATGCTCTAAGTCCCCCTCCCTATTAGAGCTTATTACCTTGTTAGCTGATGCCTAATCCAAACCTGAGAAGCTAAAGGGACTATGGCTGAACATCTAGAAAGCAAGGGGAGGGGCCACCTAAGTAGTTCTGGGGAATGGCCCAGGATGTGCTGCTGCCTCAGAGTTGCAGATGTGGGTTTTGCAGGAAAGAGCAGGCATGGGGTCATCTTGGCTCCTGTCCAACAGAGATGCCCAGAGCGGTATGGAGACTCAGTACACAAGATGGTGGTGGGGTGCAGCCAGATGCCCAGGGGCTGAGGAGAATCTCAAGCAAACACCCAGAGTATTGCTTCTTCCAAAGCCAAGGGCCTAGCAGGAGGCCATCCCTGAGATGGTCAGTCGTAATCACCTGCCCACATTCCCCTTCTCCCCCTGAGCAAGGCCAGGTATAATGTGCTAAGCACAGAACGTACTGGCTTGAGCCAAGGGAGAAAGAGTCCCTTACTTTTCCAGGATACGAACCTGGACCTAACACTTGTGCTTTAATTCACTGGAAACACATTAAGAACTGCTTTATTGGCAACAGAACTGCTTTGCATATCTCAAAAGAAGTTATTTTCCTAATCTTATATCTTATACCTTCACATTTTGGGATGGCCCCAGATTTTGCCCTAGTCAATCCATTAACACAAGTTCACCTCCAATGAGTAAACTCTTCATTGGCTTGAAGGTACAGGGACTCTCCTTTTGTGTAAAAACCTGTAGCAAAATTAGTGAGCCTTATTCTAATCAAACTAGCTTTCAGGCAATGAAAATTTATAAAGCAGCATATCATTTTTCGAAAATCACAGAGAAAAAGAATAAAAGGGAACTTAAGGGCACTCTGAAACAATTGATAAAGAAGGGAGGGTCTCAGGAGGCTAATGTAGCTCACTGCACACAGCAGCAACTGCAATGGATTCCAATTAAATATGACAATAGTCTATTCTTTTTTAAATTTTTATTCATTTTTGAGACAGAGAGACAGACAGACAGACAGAGAGAACATGAGCAAGGGAGGGGCAGAGAGAGAGGGAGACACAGAATCCGAAGCAGGCTCTAGGCCGTAAGCTGTCAGCACAGAGCCCAACACAGGGCCTGAACCCATGGACCATGAGATCGTGACCTGACCCGATGTCAGACGCTTAACTGAGCCACCCAGGCACACCCCGTCTATTCTCTCTTCTAATAACAGGACTGTAAATCCACTCTGAGATCTACAACAGGTATAATACAAACAGCCAAAGGTTATTCAAAAGCTAAAAGCTAAGAATTCTAAATAGTTTAAAAAATTAAATATTAATGATTATTATCAAACAATAATTACACAGAGACAACTGATATTTAAAAAGACTACCTTTGAAAGCCTGGATTCAGGGGCACCTGGGTGGCTTGGTCGTTAAGCGTCTGACTCTTGATTTCGGCTCAGGGCATGATCTCACAGTTAGTGGGACTGAACCCCTGCTATCAGTGCAGAGCCTGCTTGGCATTCTCTCTCCCCCTCTCTCTCTCTGCCTCTCCCCTGCTCACGCACATGTGCACGTGCTCTCTCAAAATAAATTAAATAAAAAAAGGAAAGCCTGGATTCATACCCCCACAATTTTTACGAAGGCCCTGCATGACATTGTATTAGCCACAAAGATGTCGTCTAGTAAACACTTGGTTACGCTACTTAGACACTTCATTCTCAAAGACTGAAGGCTGAAAGTTCTTTGCCTTCTTTCTAACAGGTCACCAAAGAATGAGAGATGTAACAATGTGTTCACCTTCTCACCAAAACCCAAAGCGCGCAGTGTTCAAGTAGTATGCAATCTTACCTAAGACATCTTTCTCGTGCTCAGGCACAAGCACTTTCCACTTAGACTCCTCAGGATCCGTGAAGTCGATGTTGATCAGGCGATAGTTGGGCGAATGGCGATTTGTCTTGAAGGTGAACAGCGTCCCCTCATTGGTCACATAGTCATATTCTCCTTCAAAGTTGTCGATCAGTTTCACCCACTTCAGGATTCCTGGTGAGAGAGCAAGCATCCCTGTCACCTCTCCTATGTTTAAAATGGTGTGGTTTACATGTGGCGAAGGGAGGGCAGGTTTTCTCTGTCCACAGAACATAAAGCAGACAAAATATCTGAAAAGATCTAGGCCTTGAGAAAGAGCAAAGACAAGTGCAGGTAAATTGTGAGGTTTTAAAAATATGAGGAAAATATTTTTCATGAGAAACCTGAAAGAGACTAAAGGACTTCTCCTTTCAGCCCCCTGCCCCAGGTAATCTGATAAATCCTCTTCTACCCGAATATCTCAAAGCCAAGCACTTCTTTCTACCCGGACTGCCACTACACCATCCCACATCTTTGTCATTCGCCTTCATGTCTTCGGTCTATGGCGGCGGCTCCCAACCAGGATGATTTCACACACCAAGACATGCACACCCACACACTCATACCTAGACATCCCCCTCCACACACACACACACTCAAACCCAGGTACAAATACAAACACAGACACACATCCTCCACACAGACACCCCCCCCCACACACACACACATCCACACCTTAAATGCCATTTATAAAAATAAAAAATATAAATAAATAAAAAACACTGGGAAGACATGTTTCACAATGTATCACATGTAGATATTCAGAGAGTACATTTTAAAAGTTTTATAAACAAAAGAGCTCGATGATTTCTAAACTACTGAAAGGCACTGCCAGATCTTAGCTATTCTCTAATTAATCTCCTACCTTAAATTTCTCAGTGAAATTGCTATATTAATTTGGTAGTTCATTTTTATCCTTGAATCTTTCAAGGTGATTTTACATTGTCTCCTTCATCTCCATAGCATAATATCTTTATGTGATATTTGGTTGAATTAAATTTATCAAGAAAAATATACTCCCATGGAGGAAAGAGATTTTTTTTTTTTTGGTCAGACATAACTGAATTAAAACCCCAGCTCCATTATTTAGTTGTGTGACCTTGAGCAATCTCTTTATTCTCTACTAAGCTTTATTTTCTCAACTGTAAACTAGGATGAGTAAGTAAATTAAAAAATTAGCATAAAGTGATTACTAATACCTACCCCACAACAAAAACTCAACAAATATTTAAAAATGAATGACCAGGGGCGCCTGGGTGACTCAGTCAGTTGAGCGTCCGACTTCAGCTCAGGTCATGATCTCACAGTTGGTGGGTTCGAGCCCCACGTCAGGCTCTGTGCTGACAGCTCAGAGCCTGGAGCCTGCTTCGGATTCTGTGTCTCCCTCTTTCTGTGCCCCTCCCCCGCTCGCATTCTGTCTCTCTCTTGCTCTGTCTCTCAAAAATAAATAAAAATTTAAAAATTTGTAAAAAAAAAAAAAATGACAGAATTAAAACTAATAATAAGATAAGCAAGCTAAATAAAATCTATAGCTTTCTAATATGCCAGCAATAACCAGTCAGAAAATATGGGGTGAGGAGGGGCCCTCTTGTACAATAGAAGCAAAATTAATACTTAGGAATGCACTTAACATGAAATGTGGAATCTATATGAAGAAAGCTCTAAAATCTTCCTAAGAAATCTTAAAACAACAACAACAACAACAAAACCCTGAAGAACTAGAAACACATACCATACCTCTAGATGGGAAGACTCAATATTTCAAAGGTGCAAATAATCCCAGAGGAAATCTATAAATTTAACATAATTCCAATCAAAATTCAAATGAGATTTTTAGGGAATTTGACAATATCATCCTAAGGTTCATTTGAAAGAACATACACGTTAAAACAGTCATTTTTCAAAATAGAGTGAGGGGGAACTTTTTGCACCATGATGCTCTGAACAAGCCTCTCCCCCACCAAAGGTAACCATCATTCTGAATTTTACATTATTTATTTTTCTTTGTTCTTTTCCTGCTCCAATATGTATCCATAAACACTACAGTCTAATTTTACCCTATCCTTGAATTTCATGTATGGTGAAGTCATACAACATGTATTCTTTTGTGTCTGATTTCTTTCACATGACATGTTTGTGAGATTTTTCCATCCTGTGGTCATTGCGAGTGACTTCTGGCTAAATCCGATTGTGCTCGAAAAACACACTGTATGATTTTTAATCTTTTGAAATTTGCTAAGAAAAACTTTTAGGGTCTAATTATTTTTCCTTTAAGGATTTTTAAATGTTCCTGTGACTGAAAAGAATGTATATTTTGCAGATTTTGGGTGTGATATGCCAAATATGTCTATTAAGTCATATGTTAATCACATTGTTCAAATCCATGTATTTACTGATTTGGGGAGCCATTTTTTTCTAGCAGGCAGAGAAGAGGTCTTAAAATGTTCCTCTATGATTATAGATTAGATTTGTTTAATTTTTACTTGTATTTCTATTAATTTCTGCCCTCTGTAGTTTGAAAGCATGCTGTTCAATACATACCAAATTACAATTATTATATTTAAATAAAACCCAATTGAGCTCTTTATGGTTATGAAGTTTTAACTTTAGCAATGCTTTTTACTTTTTATTTTTAAAGTCTACTTCGATGTTAAGACAACTATGTGATTTTCATAGTAACATCTTGGGCAAGTTGTCCTCTGCAGAATGACTGGTCCCAATTATGTCGTTTATCATTTCTGAAAAGATTTTTTCTTTTTCATCTCTCTTTACCAGTCATGCGTCCCACTGCTTGGTGGGAAGTAAAATTTCTTTACATCCATATTCTATTTCATTAATTCTCTCTTCAGCTGTGTCTAATTTCTTCAACCTAATAACTCAATTTTTTAACATTAATAATCATATTTTTTACAGAAATTCTACTTGGTCTTCTTCCACTCTGTTGGGTTATTCTTTACAGGATGTTGTTTCTTGCTTATGCTTCCAAGCTTCTTGTTTATTTTTTGTAAAAGTAGCATCACATTGTTTACTTTTTAAAGTGTATTTAAATTTAAAATGTATTTACGTTAGGATGTGATAATTCCACTCAGTGCTTCTGTTGCTCTATTTCTCATGCTGGTGAGTTTCTTTGTCTGATTTGTGATTTCTTTGTGTGTGTGTGTGTGTGTGTGTGTGTGTGTGTGTGAGTGTGTGTGTGTGTGTGTGTGTGTGAGTTTTGACTGTGAAATGATTTCCCTTGAAACAATATCTATGGGAATTCTTGGAGGCCTGAGTTAAAGTAGCATTCTTCCAGAATGCTACCGTATTTGGCTTCCGTTTGCCTGCTGAGAGGCAACCAATCTGGGAGCGCTTTAAATTAAATTCTTAGCCTGAGGATTTTTGGACCTCAGAGGGGATAATCAAGATAACCTGTACCCATGTCAGCCTTTCTCATGTTTTAGGAGAATTCACATCCTGCCTCTCCCTCTCCTTCCCTAGTGCTAACGTAAAGATAGGTGGGTTTTCTTCCCATACCCTCCCTTTCCCCCACCTCTTGCTCCCAGCTCCACCACTGGTAGTTTATTTCTTAATCACCATTACATGGAGGATATCTCTCATTAGATTCTCCAATATGGAGAACCAGAGGCCTTTATCTTCTATCCCCCTTGCCCTGGGGTGGCCATCAGATGGAAACTTAACCTGCAAAGCCCAGGAACATTCTGGAACAATCCAGGATTCCTGCATTCATCTTGTCTTTGGTCTCTATGGTTTCTCTTTTTTTGTGCCAACTTTGCAATGTATTTAAAAAGATATTTTATAAGCTTTTTACAGCATTTCAGTTGTTTTAATTGGGAGGTTACTCAGAATATATAATTTGCTGAACTCCTTCAAAGAGAAATCCTTACAATTAATTTTTATAAAGGTTATGCTGTGAATTTAAGTTTCAATTTTCTTTTCAGTAACAAACTGCTAACCTCAAACACAGGTGACCGCTCAAAGATAATTTCATTTTAATTTACATAAAACAATGCTTTAAAAGGGGAAAAACCCAAAAACTATTCCTTAGAAGACTAAGTAAATAAGTAAAAAATTAGCTGGCAACGCAAGAACTGCAGGTAATCAGAAAGGTACATTTGTTTACACTAAGAATGATGAATCACAATTTTCTGGACTATGACATTTGTAGACACAGAATCTTGGTTCAGAAAAATGTCAGATTCCTTAAATGTCCCCCTGACAACAAAACATTTCCTGATGTGCAACCTTTACTTCTCAAAGTAACCATCTTATGGTTTCTGCCTGAAAAGGTCTTGCAGGCATTATAGTGATATTTATTACGACCCTAGCCACCCACCCCCAACACAAAAAGTCATTGAAACATCTACTAAAGGCAATACACAGAAATTTCCTTCAGTACCTCTGTATAATCAGGTGAGCCTAAAGATGTGGCACACTCGTTTTAAATAATCAAGCCCCAGGGAACACCAAAACAACAAAGTTTGTGGTCATTATCTACCATCAAATCGTGGAGTATTAACCTGAGTCATAAATAAATACTACAAGTCATAAATTCATTTGAATTTAGGTATGTGGCTGGATTTATACAAATGGGATTCAAAGTACTGGCCCCCATGGGGCTGCATGTTTAAAATGGCGTTCACGGAATCTTTTTGCTCTCCTGAAAACCTTGCTCCTCAGTGATTTGGCACAAAATAATTCAAGAGAAATGGTATTTCAGTTGAACAATGGGGCTCACTCAGTTTTGCTATTCGCAAGTTAGAATGCTATTGATTTAAATGGAAAATGGAAAAATTACTCTTAAAAAAGAAACATGGCTTAACTCCCAAACCGTCTCACTTTTACCATCCTTTCCTGAGGTTCTTTTTTTTGTAAGTGGCATTATTCACTCTGACGCCAACAGAATTCAATTCCCAAACTTCTCCCTGTGTAAGTTAAAATGACTTTTTATAGACCTGATTCTTGGTGGGAGAATGATTTGTTTGCTGAGGGAAGGTTAGCTTAAAATAAGTCATCTTATGCTTTCCCTAGAGCAAACTCATTACTTTTTATTGCTTCCTTTTAAAATCAATGGTATTAACTTTGTTTCATAGAAAATGTTTTGTAAGCTCTCTAGCAACAGGAGCTAAAAGTGCTTT